GACATGACAGTAACACCTTGAATACAATCATATCAGAACTGCATTTCTTGACATTAGGTATCAGTTGGCAAATGCCATGATATAGTTACTGTCGGTTTTGCAAACTAATTTCTGAAGTCGTTGACAACTGCTTATATATTTAAATTTTCATATTCATAAAGAAGGTCTAGCTTTTGATACACTTGCCACTATTTATTTGTATATAAAATCTGTGCCCCTGACATTTTGCTCTGGAAATAGATTTTTGACACTGGAGTTATAGAAGGCTCGTTTGGTACATTTAACGTATGCAATGTCCAAATATTTGGGGGCTTTGTTCTTCATATTGGTTATATCTCTAAAGAAACTGGAGAGGTATATGTGGGGGATAAAGTGACTTGCAAGGTAACACTCTGCATCATACAGTGTTTGTCTCATTCAGCATATTTGGTACTATCTAAATTGTACCCATCTTTGTTTTCTCTATGGGTAGGTTGACTATGAAAGACGTAAACTCATCGCTCCTAATCATACGTGTACACATATGCTGAATTTTGCCCTGAAGGTATTCTGTTATGTAATATAAGTTACCTAAACTGTAGTTTTCTAATTTTTTATTGGATCTCAATACATTTATGTCCTATAAATTCAGGAAGTGCTTGGAGATCATATTGATCAGAAGGGATCAATTGTTCTTCCTGAAAAATTGCGATTTGATTTTTCCCACGGTACATTCTTTGATGAGTCATTTTTATTTTGAAGGGGGTGGTCGTATTAAGTATGTAATGGGTTCCATAATTTTGAGTAGGCAAGCCGGTTGATCCTGAAGATTTGAGAAAAATCGAATTGATAGTGAATAAGCAGATCAAGGATGAATTGGAGGTATTTTCCAAGGAATCAGTGCTTTCTGAAGCCAAGCGCATCAAAGGTCTAAGAGCAGTGTTTGGAGAAGTAAGCTGTCCATTAGTTTCTCTTGCTATGCGGTTTGTAGCTTGGTCTCTATAAAATTGTTAAATTGTTTTCTCTTATTCTCTTTAGGTCTACCCTGATCCTGTCAGAGTGGTGTCAATTGGGAGACCCGTCGAGGACCTCTTGGCTGATCCCGAAAACAACGAATGGTCATTGCTTTCTTCAGAGTTTTGTGGAGGTCAGTTTCCATTGGTATTGGGTTTTGGGACCAAGAGATTATTTTTTGAATAGAATATTGAGTAGTGGGTTATTTTGGAAATTCCAGGAACTCACATAACAAACACCCGCGAAGCCAAAGCGTTTGCTCTTCTAACGGAGGAGGGAATTGCTAAAGGTATTCGTAGGATAACTGCTGTGACTACTGAATGTGCTTTTGCAGCATTGGATGTGGCTTCCTTACTTGAAAAAGAAGTTGAGGATGCATCCGAAGCTGAGGGGAGTGCATTGGAAAAGGTTCTCTTTTCCCTCAATCTATTCACAATCTAAAAAAATCTCACGTCTCTTATTCATGTAAAAATGAATCTATTCATTTTTTTTTGCATCTTCACAGAAAGTTGCTGCTTTGAAAAGCCGGGTGGACGGAGCAGTTATCCCAGCAGCCAGAAAAGCTGATATAAGGGCCAAAATTGCTCTGCTTCAGGTAAAGCTCTTTCGGCTCTACTGGGTGCAGCTTTCTTAAGCGATATATTTTGGTTAGATTTTTGTTTAGTTTCTGGTAAACAAATGTTAAAATGGTAGTTCTCTTTTTTACCTCGCAGAATGAGGTGAGAAAAGCTCAAAAGAAAATTCAGGAGCAAAACCTGAAGAAATCTGTCAAAGCCGCAACAGAGGCAGCCGAGGCCGCAGCATCAGATGGGAAGACATTCTGCATTATCCAGCTTGATGTGGGCCTTGATGCAGCAGCCGTGCGAGAAGCTGTCTCAAAAGTCATGGAAAAGAAGGTAATCCCTATTTTCGTGATGCATTGTTTCTGGAAGCTATTCATTGAAAGCCAAGAAGTTTAAGAGTAAGGTTTTGTTGGCGATCTTGCAGGGAATGTCGATAATGGTGTTCAGCACAGATGAAAGCACAAACAAGGCGGTTGTGTGTGCAGGAGTTCCAGAGAAATCAGATCAGTTCAAGCAATTAGATGTCACCGAATGGTTGACAACTGCATTGGGTCCTCTAAAAGGGAGATGCGGGAAAGGAAAAAGTGGTCTCGCATCGGGACAGGTAACAGACTGGATTTTATGATCATGTATTTTTCCAATGGAGCTTTCCTTCCCAATTTGATGCAAATCCGGTCTCAATCCTCGGATGTTGTTTTGGTTTTTCAGGGTACTGATGCTTCTCAAGTGACGGCAGCTTTAGATCTGGCTGCATCATTTGCATCAATGAAGCTCAACTGATTTGGTATCAGGAGATATTACAGAATCTGTGTGGGCAGAATAACCTCTACTTTATTTGATCTCATTGTACACCGTTTTAAACACATCTTTAAGAATCTGTTAACCTTCTCATTTCTTGTGATGAAATTTGTGGTATTACTCTTCAGTCAAAGTTAGTGATTGGTGTTGTATTCCCTTGTGAGACAATCCGATTTTCGGTTTTTGTTCAAATGGTTTGGTTTTCAGATAGTTTCTGTTCAGAATTTGGTTTAGTCAGTATACTGTGGAAATAAATAGGGGTGGGCACGAAGCGGGTATCTGGTATTTTGGTGGTATATGTGTTCCGCTCTGCTCCGTTCAGATCAACACTTGTCTGAGCTATATCTGCTTCACACCGAACCGGATTTCCGTTGTTCGGTTAAAATTCGGATTTTTTCCGGATATCCGATCTGCTCCGTTA